CAAATCAAATCAAATCTACGCCAAAAGCTTTACTTAAATAAATAAAGAATAAAACGAATTTCTCTTATTTGCAGCTTTATTTTTCCCCTTCGGATCTTATGCTTTCGTACTTCAAAAAATTCATAATTCGATGGGTTTGATGTATCCAGAAGAAAGAAAGGAAAGCCGGAAAGGGAAAGAAAGTTGTGACTTTTATCTATGCGATTGATGACGACGACGAAGAAATCATTTTGGGTTTGGGTTAGAAGACGCATCAAAACACAGTCGTTTAACAGTTTGATGCCGTCGACTAACCAACGACTAGTTGGATGTGGGAGCCGGACAAGTTTAAGTTTTCAACGATACGACGTCGGCTGGAGACTCAGTGCAGGTACACGAAAACGTGAGGCCCAAATCTTGGAGGTCAAAGTGGGCCTTGACTTGGGGTCCTTTTCTTAAACTTGTTTCATTGATCCTTTATTTGGGCTGTCCTGTAATTCTGAGGAACCAAAGCCCAACATGTTGTGAGTGGCTCATGTCATCATGTCATGCATGAGTTGTGGTATTCCTATGGAAGTAAAACTTAGAAATGTTTTTTCGAAGAGAGAGTTAAAATAAAGATTTCAGAGGACAATTAATGCTCACTGCTTCCAACTAGTGGGAAGACTAGAATAGTAGTAACACGATAATCAAAAATGTTTTTGTTTCTCGCTATGTTAAGTTAGTGGTCATTTCAAAAATGTTGGTACTCCTTGGAGTTCATGCAGTAAAACGACATCAATCTCCTTCTTGGCTGCAATGCTTGCATTTATGGCCTCACACACCCCCATCATTTCATTTTCATTTTCATTTTTACCATTCACACACACAGTTGACTGGGTAGAACATTATTAATCATTGAACCAAAGTTACACAGTAAACTAGTTGTGGCTTTTCCAGGAACAAATAGGTAGAGTTGATAAAAAATGCTTTGGTTTCTTCAAACCTCAACTAGCTGTCCTGTCTGCACAATAACATTTCAAATGGTGTATTGATGTTGGTTTATTAATGAGCCCCGCAATGTGCGTGCCCTTTGCCGCATTGCTCGCTGTCTCAGTCGGCTGTTCTCTGTGAATCTGCGAGGAGACTCGAAAACCACTTCAAATATTCTTTAGAAACATCCAAACTACTTCTCGATGTTGGCCATGACACAGATGCCCATTTGTCTCGATATGTTCAAACTTCCATTACAGTTTGAATCTTGGGACGTTGGATGGGTTCATGTTTTAAACTTTGAGCTTATATTATGGATCAAATTTTGACAGCCTTGTTTAGTATGTCAGAAGATATAAAGTAGAGTTCATCACCGAGAGAAGAAGAATTTACATTAATTTTCTTTGAATAAAAAAAAAAAAAAAAACCTTTCTGCCAGATCGTAAATCTATACATAGCAAGTTTCCAACTTTGAATTAGGGAAAGAGTTTAGGCAAGTATTGAATACTACCCCTAAAGGACAATCTTGATTTCATTATAGCTGCCATCTGCATCTCCATTGTCCCACAAGTGTTTCCCATTTCCAATGTCTTCCAATGCATGGTTTGCAAATGTGCTCTTAGCTTCTCTGCCTCTGTTGGGAGATCAAGCTTCTTAGTATAAATAGGGATGATATGCTCAGTGTCCTGTTTCTCATGCTTAATTTCATTATCTGTGTGAATAAGCAGAGAGTCTAAAGTCTTGAGATTGTAGGCTTTGTGGAGTAAACTTCTCAGTTTGGACTGCTCTGTAGTAAAAGCTTCAACTGCTCCTCTTGGAGGAAACTTTATATTTTGAGTGAGATGTTTCAAAGAATGTGCTGATAGTTTATCATAGTTCAGTGCACAACAGATGCTCATCTTCTCTTCTTCGAATAAATCAGCGTGATGCTGTAGAACACTTAGTCAGTACTAGCATTACTGATATAAAATTTTAAAAAACACAGATCTTACTTTATTCTTTGCCATGTTAAAACCAAAGTAGCATACCTTAAAATATACACCAATTGCTTGGTAAAGTCTGTCATGAGATTCTCGTGCAGAATCTGGCAGTGACATCGCCAATGCTGCAAACTTTGAAGGATTCAAATAGGTATCTGGTGCCACTTCTGCAAGGTATGAATCCATCAACTTGGAGACCCTTTTTAGGCGGCTCTGAGATAAATGGCATCCCTTTTCAAGGAGAAATGATTTCACAAATCTTAAAACCAAACTCACATCATATACATACTTCTTCCCGCGTGGAGATGGAACAAGTACATAATCAATCGTTGCTTGATCTAGCTGTGAGCCTATCATATTCTCTAACTTGTTTTTGTATAGTTTGCTTATTTTCAGGCTCAAAGCCAGTTGGTATATCTTGAATAAGCGTTTGCAAGAAAGGGAGCTTCTATCAAGCAAATAAAGCAGACTAATAGCAACCTCTGTAATTTTGCGCTTCTCACCTGGTGTGGTGGCACCCATAGACTTTGATTGATGATAATGGAATAGAAACTTGAAAATTGTAGAATGATCAAGCTCCTGGAACATCATCCTTCTTATCACCTTCTCAATTAAATTGATACTCAAGAATGTAAGGTCTTCGACCCACCATGTTGTTTGAGAGCAATTGGTTTTCAGACTATGACTGCTCCTTGCACTTGAAAACTGGAAACTCAAATGTTCTGATGAAGACGCATAAGTGCTTGTAACAAATGGGCAAAAAAGCTTGGCTATGAGGCAGTCCAGGACTTTCTCCAATATTGATGAAGAATTTGAGGCAGGAAGTAAATCTTGGCATTGCTTTAGAGCTACTACAAGGTTAGGCCATGTCCAAAAGCTGATCCCTTCAAGAGATTTCTCTGTTTGGGATAGTATGTTGAGTCTTCCAGAGCCATCACCATCCATCTCCATGAAATGCGCGATGCAGTATAGTAAGACTATGTTGGAAGGGGTTATCTCAATTGTGCCATTATTGTAACAAAACCTTGTCATGAGCTCAAAACCCTCTGCACCTCCAGGAAAGTCATGGAATATCACTTTTAGGCTCCTCGATGTACCCTTCAGTTTACCAAATAATTTGCTAAATCTACCAGAGAAAGACGCCAACATTTTCTGCAAATATACATGAGTTCATAGAAAGTTTTTCTAAAAAATATCAAGTAATTGCAAGCTTGAGAAGTAGAATTCTGATGACTGGTTCTAGACAAATATTTAGGTGGAAAACAAGAAAGGCATGCATGGTAACATGTTGTCATTAATGAACAAGATAAGAAAACTTTGTGAATTGCTACAGAACCAACAAAAAGCATTAATTAATTTGATTGAGAAACCCTGTCAGATATCCCAGTAAGTAACAAAGTGAGGGAATATAGACGAACATTTTGCAAGAGGTCACTGTTGTTGACATTAAATTGTGGGGTGGTCCTATTTACTCTACAATTCAATGGAGGAAAGGATTATTAGACATAACAGTCTCATGGAATCTCAGAAAATTTTGGGAAATATATACAAAATCATGAGGCCTGCATGACCGCCTTGGTAGATGGAGTGGATAAAGATCAATAGAAAGAAGGTAGCACAAGCCTGAATGCATGACCTATATGAATACTGAAGCAGACAAAACAATAAATAGGTAGAGAAAATTTAAGAACATCGTGTTGCAGAGAAAAGGAAAAATGGAACATATTAAAGCTCAAGTTTCTACAGTGGGAAAACAGTCAAAACCCTTAACAGATATGAATTATTACCAGAGTACATAATCAGAGCACCATTTATTAATTACCTTGTCCACCATGAAAACTTCTTCGCCATTGACATCTACTTGAAGATCACAGCAAACTTCCATTGTCAGAAACACAGGAAAAATGAAAATCTCGAGTCAAAGCATAACATAGAGGCAACCTCAAAAGTTTGAGTCTGGAAAAGATAAACTTTTTAAGATTGACCCAAAAAGGAGAAAAAGAGTTAAACAGTGATACCAAGGAGAGAATAAGAAAAAGTTGAAAGTGTTAGCTTTGAAACTGGTGTTTCTCAGTACATGACATGAATGAGCATAGAGAGAGAGAGAGAGAGGCAAATGTCTGTTACTGGTGAAGAGACAATGGAAGGAATAAGAGGCAGACCAAATACCTTCCAAGAAAATGAATATTTTATGAACCTGTTGTTAGGGAGCTAGCACACCGTAAGTAAGTGAAACAGTAAAAGTTTATTATAAACCCAAAATCTGAATGAATATTTTATTCTCCGTTACTCATGCAGCAAATTGCCTCATTCTCTCTCCCCGTCTCCATGTTTCTCTTTATTTTTCTCTAGCAGGCAAGGAGTTTAGCTGCCCCCAGTTTTCTCAGTGCTTGACTATGGGAGTCTCCTTAGTGGATGCTGGATCCCACCAAAAGAATTCAGAAAGGTGGATTGGGATGCAACCTAGGTCAAATAAGATGATCTGAATGATTGTTTGACCTTCAAGATCAGCAATCAGGTCTGCAACAGATGATGAGCTTTAGATATAACTACATTTTTAACTCACACTGGAATTACCTCTTGGAAATTAAAGCACATCTTGCAAGGCTAAACCCACAAATTTTTCATACCATGAGGTAAAAAAGCGCATCATATTGTCCTTCCGCAAAGATTTTCTTAATATATTTTTTTCTGTATATCTACCAGTGCGTGTATATTTTTATTTCTATGGATTACGGAAAAACGTTGGAAAGATTTCTTCTAGCATAAATATATCATTTTTGTAAACAAAAATTAAGAAAATACAACTTTTTCGGATCCTTGTGCTTCGTTGAAACCACAATCAGAATTACAATCAAGAAAAAGAAATGTTCTACAAAGTTATTTTCTGAAATCTATCAAATAGCTATAAATTTTTTTTTTTAAACCACTTCTCCGCACCTTTAAGGGAAAAGGGAGGGAAGAATATAATAAAAGAACACTCCTTAAATCAAGAATCATTTTTTTTTAAACCGCTTCTCCGCACCTTTAAGGGAAAAGGGAGGGAAGAATATAATAAAAGAACACTCCTTAAATCAAGAATCTATATTAAATTCTTGCTACACTGGCAACATAACACTTCTTCCACTTAAAGGTGAGGAAAATACAGTTTTCAATGGTTCCAAGGGAACCATGAAAAATAAAAGGAATAGAAAACACAATAAGATGAGGGTCGTAGAGGGTAGACACCACTCGGGCTAGAAGATTGCAATCAATTTTGTATGGCAGTAATTATCCTGATGAAACTGGAAAAATCTGGTGGAGGCAGGCACTCACAAGTGAATGCGCTTTCTCAGCCTTCTTGGATCCAGCTACTTGAAATGAACAAGATCACCAGCAAAACTATGAATCTCTATAGCACCAAGTGGTGCCCAAACCGTCGCAAGAAACACTCAGACATTTAGTAACCATTTATCTGAGGCCTTGGGGTTGGGCCCATCAGCCGTGAAAAAGGCATTTGAGCCCGCCCAGGAATGCCCCTTTGACCAGAAAATCGATCAGCTAATTTTGGATCTGAGACTGATCTGGAAAATGCTTGGGCAAGCTCAAGAGCTGAAGCCGCTTTCCCGTGGTGCACACCAACAGCACCAGGAGAAGATAGTTTTCGCTGTTCAGGCTTCCGCCAGGTCTCTGGTGATGGTGGCCTCTCTGACTGTTGCTGCTGTCTCTCAGGCTCTCTATTATTCCTCTTACCATCATTACGCCAGTTCCTCTTCTGCCCATCAACTCTCTCAACATCTACCCGATTATCCCTCCTATCAAATTTCTTTCCAGTCCTCTGATCAAAAGGATGATTCTCAGGTTTCTCATTGTGGCGAGTAGGATTTGCATGCACAGGAACTCTATCAGGCTTGGGAACTTGGTGTTCAACCCTTCAAACAACAACAATGATTTGTTGTAAGCAATAAACCCAAATTTCCATTCAAACATAACCAAAAAAAAACTTTATAAAATAGGAAAGCTTTGAGATGGAAAATAAGCCAATACTTGTCAGAATGCTGAACCATGTCAATGTTGGTAATCACAACATCGTCAACCCCTCGCTCCTTTAGAACCTGAGTATACAAACAGCAAAGGTTTCAGGTAGGGGACATGAAGCACCACCAGTGGTAAAAAAGAACAAGGTAGTGTTGGGGGAAAAGGGCTCAACAATAGGGATATTAAAAAAAATCCACAATTTTTAAGAGACTGGGAAACGACTATAAACAAGAAAAATTAAGTCTCAATGACTAAAAGTAACTGAAATGTCAAACTCAGATTAAAAACTCACCAGTTCTCGTGGGCGAGCACCACCAAACAATGAAATCCTGCAGCAGTCATAGATATGATCAGACGTCACTTGCGAGTACCAATGTAGAGGTCCAATATTTACAACAATGAAGAACAGAATCTTTTCCAAAGGCTACCAAGATTTCAGAACGGGAGAATTGTGCTCTCCCATGCTACAAATTCAATGTAACGCTTCTAGCTTGAGTGGTATGAGATGAGGTGGGGTGAGGGATAGATCTTAGGTTCAAATATTCATGTAAGCAATACAAAAAAAAATTGCTAGAGTCTGAGAACAATCATAGCAGCGCATAGTTTCATGTGGAATTCAGGAAATAAAATATATATCAGAAAAGGATTAACTTCATTTGATAATCATGTGGTACAATACTGGAGGCAACAATTCATTATTTTCCGTTTATAACAATATACACACACAACACCGTAAAACTGTTATTAATCTTATCTCTGGAAATTGCACACAAATGTATAACCCATGGGATTGATTCAATGGACCGGAGATCTTTAAACAACAATCACTCAGCCTCAAATCACACCAATGGCTATTAAAGATTACATTAAACAAATTTGGTAAAGGGGGAGGGAGGGAGAGGAGAACATGAATTATTTAACAATAAAACTTAATAATGCACTATTCCACAGCTTATATGTTGTAGGTCCATCACGAGACTCAAAAAAGATTTAAAGGAATAAAAGCCATACAGTGAACACCGTGTTCATAAATTTAGGTTGTGATACACCATATTAAACATTCCCCCTGCCCGCCTTCCCCACCCCCCCAAAAAAAGATCAATATCCCCTCTACTTCCCCGAGCTGATAAATGTTCAGATTGGGAAAAGATATCTCATGTTTCACTCAGCTTTACGCCATTGTATTCATCCTCTTAATTGTTTTTATTTTTTCAAAAAACAGCAGAGATTAAAAAAGGAAACCACAATCAAAAGCATGTGTGGAAATCAAAAACATATTCAGACCTGTCTCTTTTGGCATTTCCTTCCAATTGTTCAAGAGGCTGAGACCGGGGCTTAAGATTCAATTTTGGACGCTCCACCACCTGCTTCCCACTATCAGAGCCTGCTGAACCAGGTTTTGGAGAATTCATATTTCCATACACGTCATTGACAATTTCGACATGAGACTCAATCACCCTTTGGTACTCCTATATTCAACCAAACAATTAGAATTTAGTGCATTCGGTGCAAGGTACCCTTAGATTTGAGAGACAAAACACCCTATAACACACTTGGATAACCTTGTCAATACCTGTGTATGATCGACAACTGGAGCTTCCAAACCATCCACTGGCTTTGTTCTTGGAAGCAACTTCAACTTAGGTCGCTCTACAGGTTCTGGAGAAGCTGAGGCCTGCAATTCAGCCTGACCAAATTTTCCATCAGCCTGAGCAGGTTGAACCCTGTTGCTATAAGCAGTTGCGTTCCACTCCTGTACCTCTGAGTTAATCGGGGCCCCAGAACTCCTATAATCAGGTAGCTCCTTCAAGACACCCTGAATGCCATCATCAACTTGTAGACCCCTTTCAACATGCCTCGCCAATGCCACATCATGATGTTCTCTCTCAACCATCACATCCGTCCTCTTGTAAGTATCATTACCATAACCCTTGGAGTGTAAGCCACTTTCTGTTTCGGGAGATATAACAACATCAATATTTGTCTGGTATGGGATTGAAGGCTTTGACTGCCATCTACCTGAAGACACCTTATCCAGGGCACTGGCATTAGCAAGCTTTTGAACAGCACTTTGTCCAGACCAAGCAGATTGCACTGTCTCAGTAACACCCGCCATCTCCTTCCTCATTGCCCAAGCATTTGGATGAGCCCCACTAACGCCGCGCCCACCATTGGCACTTAAAGTCTGAGAATTAACCCCTGCATGGGCCGCCTCGCTAGCCCTTTCCGAGTAAGAACTCACCGCCCCCCTGGGGGATTGTGGTGCTGGAGCCCACCCCTGCGCGCCAGATAAGCCCCCTGAAGACACAAACACCGGTTTGGGCTCGGCACGGGTAGGAAGAACCCGAATGCTATCATCGCTGATGGTCCGGCGTGGTGTGGAGACACCATCAAGGGGCTTGCGCTCATCCTCATCAAAGTTCCGGCCAATGTGCACGGAGTGAGTGAGAAACGGAGTCTTATCATCAAAATGCCTCGTGGCCGGAGACGTATGGGGCCGAGACCGGTGATCGGGCCGCCCCATAGTGTTTCCCCAAGAGGTGGTTCGGTCGTAAGTCGAACGATCCGTAGGCCTAACAACTCTGCGAAAAAGAAAATTCCAAAATTGGCTTGAAAATTAACTAGGGTTTTTGGATCCATTTCTAAAAAAATCAAATAAAAAGGCTAGATCTAAAAGCAGAGAATCGTAAGTCGAACGATCCGTAGGCCTAACAACTCTGCGAAAAAGAAAATTCCAAAATTGGCTTGAAAATTAACTAGGGTTTTTGGATCCATTTCTAAAAAAATCAAATAAAAAGGCTAGATCTAAAAGCAGAGAATTACAGATGAATCAAAATCAATAGGGTTTTTCTTTTTCATCGTTTTCTAGAGCAAAAAAAATATTCAGAAAAATAAGAACGATAGGATGAAAGAAAGAACAAGAAAAGGGGTAAACGGGACTTACACACCAGGAGCAGAAGGGAGAGGGAGATCAGAGGGAATAGAACCGCCATGAAAGTCCTTAAGGGTCATAGTATTCCCACTCACTTTCTTCTTCGACATTCTCCCCCTCCTCTTTCTCTCTCTCTCTCTCTCTCTCTCTCTCTCTCTCTCTCTCTCAAACACTTGACAGATCTTCCTGAGCTCCGCTTTGATTTGTTGTTGAAGACGATGGTACTTTTGATTGGAGATTTGGACAGAAGAAGACAGAGAGATAGAGAGAGAGAGAGAGATTGTGGAGAAGAAGCAGAGGGAAAGCCCGAACCTTAAAGATCGCCTCTGCTTCTTTCTCAAAACTATTTTGCTTATTGGGACTTCACCACTTGCGTTCTTTTTCGACCGTACTGTTCGTTAGACTTTCTATTAGATGTGCCTCTCTCACCTTCACTCTGAGCCGTTCGATCATTAACCGACCTATGTGATGTATTTATAAGATATTCCCTCCATTTTTTCCATTTTTTCCATTTTTCCATTTTTTTTATAATAATGTTATTAAGCATTACATAAATGGTTTTTCTTCCTTGTTTCTCCTCCTCTTGAATCCTTTGCTAAATAGCATTTTGCATGGGTAAGGTCTTGTAGCTCAACTATGCAAGAGTAATTATTCATGCACATGTTCGGAAGTCGCATGTTTGAATCCCTCTCCTACAGTATCGCTCGTATTAAAAAGAAATGACATTTATATAGTCTCAAAAGGAAATTAACACATATATAGTACTTTAGTCTTTTAACATTGTCAAAAATAAGATAAACAAGGAAAAAAAACAAACAATATCTTACATCTATCACATTTGATCCATTTATTGACTTTTTTGTTTCAAGAATATCTGAATTAGCTTAAGAACTATATTCAGGTTGCCAAGACAGGTGAGGAGAAGTTGTCGATTTAAGGCTCAATTCAATTTTAATTGGGCTTTTTTTAATTCTCTTGTTGGGCTATATAGATTAAGGTTTCAACAACAACAAAAAAACCAGAAAGGCCCGAGCCCTAATATAGAGACAAATTGCGACTAGGACTAGGAGGACCAAACCTCTCTTTTCTTTTGTTCAGCCTAATAGCCATTCTATTATATCATATCATAAGTTAACAAATGAGATATTGGATTTCAATTATAACAGAAGTTCCCAAATCATTGGTGAGAGAGGTACCGTATATATTATACACAAGGTCTTCATTAACTTGCAGAAAATCAGCTCCGAGGGTAAAAAGAGCAAGGCTTCCAACTACCACTTTGCTCAAATGAGGAAGAAAAAAATTGCTTTCAATCCATTATAAATGGACAAATCTTTCTCTTGCAAAGTTCAAGTTCTCATTCTCCGGTGTGAAAAAGAAGTGCACAAATCATAAGACGTGTTTTGAAAAAGAATACGACATCTCGGAGGTATATACGGTTTATGCAGAAAAGAAGCAAAGTTACAATTGGAAACTCGTGGACCAAAAACCTCACATATTAATGTTTCACGTGGAAAGGTTGAATGTTCTGACCATTATTGTCGGGCTTGCCGTGCACCCCCGAAGTTTCATTCTGTAATTGTGATGTTTTCGGGTTTCCTGTAAATTGCTGGGTCCAAATGTTCTCAGCTCATGTCTCTTTCTCTCTCTATCTTGTTGTATTGTTGTTTGTTTCCTCTGCGTACCTTTGCTTTTGGGGCCCTTGGAATGAATTCCTTGCCCGACCCATAAAAAAGAAAGGGTGCAAGAATTACATATGGTGGTGGGGACTAAAATGACTATATCATACCAAACTCTTGTAATAAAACCATATATATATATATATATATATATATATAATGTTGATCCAATGATAAGTACATCGTCCAAAGTAAAATAAAAATGTTGGTACATCATATTATTAACCCTATTCTAATTAAATACATAGAGAGCTTAATTGTTAGTTCAATTGATCTCAAAGTAGTAAAGGCTCAAGTACCAATATACCTTGAACCCCTGAACCATGGTGAGCTTGGAGGGATAAGGGTGCGATCCAGAAAATGAATGCTTGCAGAGAACTTGGAAAAGAAGAGGGAGAAGAGAGACTAAGGATGTTAAGTTTCACGTTCGTTTAGAGTTAGTTTTTTCTTTTTTAATATTAGAAAATTGAGGTTTTATTTTAAAGATGATGTGTATAACTTGAATCCCTTGGATTAAATTTTAATGAGATATCATATAGAGGAAAGAAGTTAAGCAGATCATAACAGAGAGAATCCAAGCAGAGGATCCAAATCCCTTCATTAACTTGCAGAAAATCAGCTCCTGAGTGTAAAAAGAGCAAGGCTTCCAAGTGCCACTTTGCTCAAATGAGGAAAGAAAAAAAAAACTCTCAATCCATTATAATTGGACAAGTCTTTTCTCTCGCAAAGTTCAAGTTCTCACTCTCCGGTGTGCAAAAGATATGCACAAATCATAAGACATGTTTTGATAAGAAAAGAACAAATTACCAAATATTCCATTGCTATACCAAATATGGTGGTGGATTAAATAGAGAGTATGTTCTTCCATGGAGTAGTAGGAGCAGGAGAATCAAAGTCTTTCCTCATTTAATTTCATCGTGGAAAAAGGGGAAGCGTGTCGGTGTTTCTTCCAGGAAGAGGAATCATGTTTTCCTCATTTAATTTCATTGTTCTTTTTTATTTTTTTTAAAGTTGGAAGCTGGTATATATATAATATTAAAGAATTTTGGGGGCCCTTTAGTTGGAGGCTAATGGCCAAGGCCCTTCCTGCCCACCCCTAAGGTCGGCCCTACCCATGGACACGTGACAAGTATTGAGAAGAGTAATAATCGTACACCTTAGGGTAAAATGGTGAGCAAAAATGCTCCATTTATAACATACATAGTCCTTCTATAATATCATATCATAACAATGAAAGATTGGATTTCATTGTAACAGAAGTTCCCAAATCATCGGTGAGTTGAACTATGAAAAAGGTATTATACACAAGGTCTTCATTAACTTGCAGAAAATCAACTTTGAGAAAAAAAGAAATAGTTACAACAATATTAGTATGAAAATTGTATTGGCATTTCCTAGACTCTAGCATAGATTGGGAATTAGTGTGTGAATATTGTTTACTGGACGTTTTGGCTCAACACATTCAATCCTGGATTTTCGAGGCATGACTTGATTGATATGAGAAACTTGTTTTCATGTAAATTATAACATAATCATGCATTCACAATAGGATTCCTAGTTGAAGTTATTTTCAATGTCATTTTGATTTAAGTTAAAATATTAGTGTTTCCTATAGTGATGTGCACGGTGCTCATCTCCTAATTAACTTGTTTTAGGAGATATTGTTTCTCCATAAAGGTAGCTGTTTGGCATCATCACTTAGAGTTCATATTGAATCAAAACTGATATTCATAAATGAATAGTATTAGTGGTCTCCTGTGTTTTGACGTCTTTCACTAGAGTCCATATTGGGTTAAAAGTTTATAGTCATAATTGAAATGTGTTTTGTACTCTTGTGCTTCCGTTTGACTAGGGATAGGAAGCTTTGAATAAAAGAAGTGCACCTCTCTTTTGACAAACACAGCTTTCGACATATTTGGCTTTGAGCATATTGAATTTTTAAGAGAAAGCTGTTGTGCATATTTTTTAGATAAGTCATCAAGTGTTCCTTGTTTACTTGGTGATTTATCAAATCCTTTCATCATTCATATTGGATTCATATGCATGTCGGTGACTCATACGGTTGAGGGCACCAAGACCATTGTGGTGTTTATCCTCCGGCGAGCTTGAAGCAATCATGACCAGTATTGCCTTCAACATAAAAAGTGTCGAAAATCATCCCGCGACAGAAGTTGAGTTACGAAGAAGTCGGTAAACATTATCTAGAATGTGTCTAGGATAAGTGTGTGAGTACTTCTTGTAATCATCGTTCTATAGTGGATTTGTGTTGGACTGAGGAGTCCCGTGGATTTTCCCCAACATCTCCTCCTCAATCCATTATAATTGGACCAATTTTATCTCTTGCAAACTTCAAGTTCTAACTCTCTGTCTCCGGTGTAAAAAAGATATGCACAAATCATAAGACATATGTTTTGATAAGAAAATAGCAAATTACCAAATATTTCATTACTATACCAACCCAAAGAATACGACCTCACTGACCAAGAAGAAAAGAATACGACCTCTCGAAGATATATATGGTAAAAAGTTGGAGTTAATAACTTGTGGACCAGTAACCTCACATTTCATGTGGAAGGAGAGGAAGATTTGGATTGTCGGGTCCCCCAAGTTTCATTCTGTAATTGTGATGTTTTCGGGTTTCCTGTATATGTAGAGGTAGTTGTCAATTGCTGGGTCTGAATGTTCTCAACTGATGTCTCTATCTATGTTGTTGTATTGATGTTTGTTCCCTCTGTGTACTTTACTTTTGTGGCCCTTAATGAATTCCCTTTCTGACCCAAAAGAAGAAATGGTGCAACAATTATACGGTGGAGACTAGGCCGTTTACTTTTGTGGCCCTTATTGAATTCCCTTTCTGACCCAAAAGAAGAAAGGGTGCAACAATTATATGGTGGAGACTAGGCCGTTACTTTTCAGGAATGGAGGAAATAAAGAATCAGGGAATTTAGGAATTGGGGAAGTAATAAATTGATATGGGAAGAATCATTCCCATTAAGCTGTTTACTAACCATATGAAATTATCACAGGAATGGAGTTGATTCTCATTGTTATTGTTTACTAATTCTCATAAATCAGAACCTAAACTAATTTGATTACTAAAATTTCATGCACATATAAATATATATTTTTCACCTAAATAACTTGTAAAAAACCTAATTGAATAATATAAGATACTATACAACAAGTGATGAAAATACTAGTATATAATAATATAAGGAATATAATATTTTTTTTAAAAAGCCATTGAAATAATAAACAAGTTGCTTTTTTCCAACGGTGATTAATAAACAGACATTGAATTTTTTTTAAACAAAAAGGCTTCAAAAGTTTGGTTTCTTCATTTTATGGGATGGAAGAACATAACAAGTGTCAATAGTTTTTGTTTTATGTTCACGTGTCCTCCAGATTGTGGTGCTAAACTAACCAATTTCAAAGTGGTGTGAGTTTTTATTTTTCTAGGGTTTGGGGTGTTTTGTAATTATCTTAAAGTGGTAAGGGTATTTTTGGAGGGTAGTAAGGGAAAAAAGGAATGTGAATTGGATCAACTACCCCTCCCTAGTTGATCTGATTATTCTTGATTTTGAGAGAATGTGATTACGGATTTTGAGGTGGTATCCACGTATTTCTTCATTCTTAATTGAAAATAAACACGCGAGAAGTTAGGAATGGAAATCATTCACTTTCTTCCCATACCCATCACTAATACGTTAACATGGCTACATCATGCCAAACTCTTGCAATAAAACCATAGAGAT